TTAAAGGCGTGCGCCACCAACGCCCGGCTTTCTTTTTCTTTTTTTTCTTATCTCCTCTTCCTTTCAATAGAGAGAGAGAGAGAGAGAGAGAGAGAGAGAGAGAGAGAGAGAGAGAGAGTTTCCCTGCCTTGCAGTATAGTGGAGCTCTATGAGTTTTCTTTTTCTTTTTTTTCTTATCTCCTCTTCCTTTCAACAGACCAAAACTTTAGCAGCCACACACCCCAGAGTCCTAGTGTTCCCAGAGTCACGGTCACAGCTACCCACCTTCAACCCCAATCTTGCCGTCCCCATCCTTGTCTCCGGCGGCCAGCAGCATCTTCGTTTCTTTAGCAGACAAGTCTCTGGCATCTGAGGAGAAGCCCTTCAGAATGGACCTGAAGGAGACACGGGGGAAATGGGAGGGACTCAGGACAAGGTCACCTTGCAGAACTTCGTCGGATGGTGGGCTGGCATCTGTGCAGGGCAGGGGAAGTTGGGATAGGCAGAGGGTGGTGGTGGACACATGTGCAGCCAGGCTAGCCAGGGAGCCTGATCTGACCCTTAGTGGGTCAGTGTGGGGTGGATGACGACCCTCTGTGCAAGGTTGACCCCAATTTAGGGGACACTTGCCTTTGTTTATTCAATAAGTATATAAAATATTAAGTGTTATAAAATGGTGATTATAATAAGCCATCTTCACAAGTGAGGAGGAGGGCAAGCCCTCACAGACAGACCTCTTGTGTGATGGAGTGGCGGATAACCCAATGGAGGAGTCAGAGGGGAGCACATGCCTCCTACCCAGGTCAGGGAGGAGTTAGGAGACGCTCTAGAGATGGCGATACCTGAAGAATAGGGAACACTTAGCATGCATCTGTACATGCACGTACATGTTCTTGTCAGGCATAGATAGGTAGGTGGGAGAAGGTTCTAGAAGAAGATGCCCTTGGAGTAAAGTTTGGAGGAGAGATAGCATAGGTTGAGGAATTTCCTACTTAAAATGCAACTCTGAACACCTTCCTCCTCCTGTTCCTAACAAAATTCAAGGCAGCGTTGGCTGGAAGTAACAGAAGGCACAGCTGGGTTATCAGCTACAGGCCAGGTGGCTGAGGCGGGCTGGGGCAGAGGGCTCTACGCTAATGTGGGCTTGTCTTCTCCTCTGTGCTTTGCTCCAAGGACCCTGAGGCCTCAGAGCTGGCTCTGCCTCCCTGGCTTGCCCAGAAGTAGCTTAGCTGCAGTTCTGGTCCAGAGGTGTGGGGTCTGCAGACCAGACCGGGAAGGTGCCTTTCAGACACATGGAAATCAATGACACTCTAAGGAGAATGCCTCCAGCCTTGCCTGCGGTGGGAGGCAGCCGAGTAAGTGCCTCTTCATTGGTATTAAATTATTAAGTAACTCCGTTCCATTAGCGATATTAAGTGGCTATAATTTAGCCCTAGTTAGCTGCACCCTGAGCTGAGGGTTTGACCCTCCCGGAAGCAGGAGGTATCTCCCTGGTGCCTGGGATATTGCCCTGGAGGGACAAAGGAAAGCCTACTTACTATGAGGGGTACAGATAGAAGGACAGCGACTTGGGGAGTTAGCACCAGGTTCCTTCCCCCCCCCAAGGCCTCAGTTTACCCCAGCTCATCCTCCTCGATGAAGCCACTTTTGTCTTTGTCCAGAATATGGAACACCTTCTTCACGTCATCCGGGCTCTTTTTCTTCAGACCCACCATCTGGAAGAACTTTTTGTGGTCGAAGGAGTCTGCAGCTGTTTGGGGGTGGGGGGAAGGAGGAAGTTAAAGAGGGATGCGGGAGGGCACCCGGAAAATCAGGGAAGGGGATGTTCTAGCGTTTGTTAAAGGACACCTGCACAGTTGGGAACAGGAGGGCAGAGGGAACCCAGATAGGAAAGGATGCTCTGTCCAAGGTCGAACCTTCTTGGCTCCCCCATACATACCCTGAGAAGCCTCACAGAGACTCTTGGTCTCCAGAGAACTGCATTTCTATGAAGCCTGTTTGGGTGGCGGCTAGGTGGGCCGCACCTGGGCATGCAATGGATGCTAGGGTGGGCAGAAGAGCAGCTTTCTCGCTCAGCCATATACTGTTGTCAGAAAATCAACACATTTCTGTCAAGGTCACATCGTGGGAAGGGGGAGGGGAGGACCCAGAAGTCCTGCCCAGACTCAGAGACCATCCCAGTGGCTGGGGGGGTGGGATGAAGGACTTCCAAAGGCTCAGTTAAGTTTCATTCTTAAGGTGACAAGGTGGCTCGAGGCACAGTGAATGGGTTATCATAGTGATCTGGGAGGGGAAGGGGGCTTCCTGGAGCTTCCTGTGTGTGCCAGAGGGGGGGAGGGGGACTAGAAAACAAACAAACAAACAAACAAACAAACAAGCAGATGGATGTCCCCACTGACAGAGGCTCTTAAGAACCATAGTCTCCCCTCAGCCCAGGGCCGGAGGGCCAGGAAAGTTGCTTTGTCCCATCTCTGACACACCAAGGTGGGGCACTGAGATCGGAGGCCACCCCAGGTCTCATCCTTATTGTGTTGGACTGAGTGGCCTTCTACATCTTTCATCCTATCCCAGCCTCAGTTTCCCTACATGGGTGAGAGGAACAGTATCTATGCTGGAGTCCCTTCAGAGTAGAGGTCACACAGCTGAGTGCCCCCCCCCTCTCCTGGACTGCCTAAAAGGGTTGGAAGCTGGAGGGTAGTAAGGGGGGGATGCGCTATGCTGGGCAGGGACGGGTGCCTGGTGTGGAAAGGTCACTGTGCCCTCAGGTCTGTCCTGGGAGGGGATCTCCACCAATGGGCTATCTTCCAGGAAAAGTCTTATTGGGAATGGGGGTGGAAGAAAGGGGTCTCTTGGAGAGACAGCCCCGGTTTGTAGCCCCGTCTACACTTCTCAGTGAAGTCTGGGTCCTGCCCCCAGAATCCCAGAGCTTCCTTCTTCCCACCCTGGTCTTCGGGCTTGGTCCTGGACCCAGGGAGTCCTCCCAGAGAGGCTACCCTTCTGCGCCCTCAACTTTGTGTGGCTCAGGCAGGGCGCACAGCCAGTGCAGCCCTTGGAAGGCAAAGGACCAGGGAGCCAACCCGGAGGATGAGGACCGAAGTGTAGAAGTGTAAACGGGAGGAACTGGGGAGGCTTCGCAGAGGGATGCGGGATGCCCCAGGAGCGGGAAGAGGGCAAGGGGACAGGGCCAGGCAGGGGAGTGCACTGCTCACCAGCAAAGGCTCCTATCGCCTTCTTGATGTCCTCAGCGCTGAGCAAGTCTGTCATCGACATCCTGCAACTGTTTGAGCGGGCAGAGCAAGTGCGAAAAGATTAAAAAGTGTTCTCCTCATCCTTTCTGCTCATATGACCAGCGCTGCAGTGTCGCGCGCCAGGCGCACGCCCGCCTGGCCTGGCTCCGCGCCAGGGGGCACCCGGCTCCGCGCGCAGCTCAGCAGCTCAGTCCCGCCGCGTCGCTACACCGAGCGGGCCGCACGCCCAGGGGTCCTCGGCATCCCGGGGGCTCGGACTAGGACCCCCCGCCTCCAGGAACCTCCTCCTGATCTCAGGGACCACCAGCAGGGACTGGAGAATTATCCTGCCGTCAAGGGCATATGGGAGGCAGCGAGGCTCTGATCTGGGCGTCTCGGATAATGTCCTCTCGCTGGGGAAAAATGATGCTGACCAGCCTCCACCCCAGGGGCCTTCTTGGCCGTGTACTCATTCTCTCCCCACGCCTCCAGTAGCCTCTTCTCCTCTGTCCTGGATGCAAATTTATGCCGCGAAAAATCTTAATGCTGAGGTCTTGAAACCTGAGTCACAAGACCCAGGGAGGAGGTAGCCTAGGCTGGGACAGACCTCGGTGCTGAGGCTCTGTCTGAGCTGCTCCGTCCCTCACCTGACCAGGGCAGCACTTTCTGAAACTTGGTTTCTGAGGGGAAGGTGCCAGCTTAACTAAAGGTGCCTTTCTCAGACTTTCTGGTCTCCAGGGCCACCACACCCCGGTGGTCTTCCTTCTAACTCCCAAAGACCTCCCTAAGGAGGCTAAGCTAGGGGAAGCTCCATGGAATAACTACCCACCTTTCTAATTGGTCAAAAGTTTGGGGCAAGGGGTGGTACCATCTAGAACTACATTTTCTAGACTACCCAGGTTTTGTGGTCTCAGAACATCTTATCTGAGAACCAGGACACTTTCCATCTCATGGGACCAGAGTTCAACGCCATCTTCCCTCAGGTCTCCTCCCAAAGATTCAGACTGTGACTAGCAGCCTTGGAAGTATGTGAGAACTGTACCGGGAGTTCAGAGGTCTGGGTTCTAGTTGTGAGCTACAGCTGAATCCCTGCATGACCTTGAGTTATAACCTTTATCTCTGGGCTTTGGTCTGCATGTGCTGTGTTGGAGGTGAGTGGACCCCTGTGTGGGCTCCGAGGCATCTGGGATGATGATGATATTGGGGACCAAGGGACAGCTGCCCAGCTGCCCAGTAGCTCAAGTTGCCTGACACTCGCTGTCAACACTGTCTCCCCTGGCTGAGTCCTGGAAGGCTGCCCTTCCTGGAAACCTTAGGAGTGGCTGGCTCCAGCTGCCCCCTCCTGGTGAGTCAGCGTCTTTGGGCAGGAGCCTGCCAGCTGGCTTTCAGGGGACTTAGGCTTCAAGCCCCTGACTTCACAGCTCTGGGCACGAGGCCTGCCCTGGACCCCTCAGCTGTCCTAGACCCTTGAGCTCCCTTAGCTCCTAAGGCATCTGCCTCAGTTGACTCGGTGGCCTCAGCCTCTGCCCCTTGCTCCCAGCCGGCCTGCCTGCTCCAATCCGCCAGGCTTCTGTGTTGTCGTTTCAGCATCCCGTGAAGTAAGCGCTGCTTACCCTGTGGCCTAGTTACAGCATCTGTTTCCCCAGCTGGAGACTCTTGTGCCATCCTGAGCCTGGAGTCTCTGAGTGCCGATAGACCCCCCCATCAAGGCAGTGGCCAAGCAGGGTCAGCTCTGGCCCATCGATGTGGTGTGCTATCAATCTCTTAGAGGTCCTTCCTCATGCCCCAGTCTCAGTCCTACCAACCCCAGTGCATCTGAGTCCCATGGTAGCTCCTGTGGTAAAAGTTCACACCCCCTGCCCCTTCTCCTCCCTCCGCTGTTGCTGAGTCCTCAGCAGCTGGACCAGCCTCTCTGGGCCTGAGAGCTCCTCAGCGGAGCATGGGTGTTGTCAGCTCAGCCAATCAACTCCCCACCCACGTGCTTGCCTCCCACCCCTCTGCCCTTTGGCCCTTTTGATGGATCACTAACATAGGAGGATGTATGACTCTGCCTCTTAGGCCCAACAGACGGAGAGCTGAGGTCTAGCTTTGGGAGAAGGATTTGCCCAGGCCACCCAAGAGGCGGGTAGAGAACCCCGGGAGTCCCACACTCAGCAACCTCCACTTTGAATCTGGAGACAAGGCAACGATGTGACCATCCCTCCCAGTTAGCCTGATTCAGGCTTTCTCCATCCTCCAACCCCAGAGGCTATTGCTTACCTTGGATGGGCAGTGGCCGGAGCCTGCACAGAAAAGCTGGGCTGGTGGGGGATCCTGTTGGGAAATGAGACTGGTGGTGGGACAGCCACTTAAATAGTCTTCCGTCCTGGCTATTTTGGGAGGTGGCGCTCCCCCAGCCCCTGGCCCCCTCCCCTTCCGGTGTCAGGTCCTCCCCAGCCACGGTGCTGGGTGTCTGTATCACATTCACCCCCATCCAGCCCTATTGAGCCAGACCTATTAATAACCCTTGGCCCCTACCTCCCTACAGCACCCAGCACTGAGGTCCAAGCAGGGCACACCTCTTGCAAGAAGCCTTCCATGATCACCTCAGGTGGGAGCCACACTGTCCCAAGCTTGCAAGGAAAGGAAGGAGGAAAGAAGGGAACAGGGGTTGCTTGCACCTGCTATGTCTTCACGATACCCCTGAAGCATTGGGGTGACCGCTGTGGCAGCGATGTGGGGTGCTAAGCTCACAGCTATGGACCCCGCAGCCAGGACTGGAGCTAGTACTTCCACGTCATCGGCTGCTGTCTGGCAGAAAGAGACACACTGCCCACCTCTGGACAAACCTCTTCCTCTGTGCCTCAGTTTCCCATCTGTGAAGTACAGCTATGCTTGAGCTTGAGGTGGAGCTGGGAAGCCCTGACCATGTCTGCCAAATGTCACTGGCAAGGGCACCTTGGCGGAGAAAGGCCCATCACGTTCCCGGTTTTCAAAGGGTCTCCGATCTAGTGTCTTGGGTTGCAGACACTATCCAAGGCCCGAGTTCGGAGATGCGTGACTGAACGGATGGGTACGACAGGAATGTGTCCAGTGTCTGATATGAACACCATGAAACACTCCTTTCCTTACCCCTGCTCTGGAAGCAAGCCTCCAGGCTCTGACATGGTCAGCCATGGAGCCCCATTCTCGACAGTGGCCTCAGAGTCCCAGCGTTCGATGAGTGGCAAGGAGGTACCACTCCTCCCTCGACACCATTGGCTTCTGGACGGCAAGAGTGGAGGGTGGGCTGCGGTGGGGAAGCCAGCTTGAGCCTGGGTGGGCAGTGAGAAAAAAAATCTCTAGTGCACCAGATGGACACACTCTGGTATGTTCACTTTTTGCCCCTGACAGACACCTGAGAAAACCATCTATAAGAGGAGGATTTACTCTGGCTCCCGGTTTCGGAGGCATCGCGTCCCAGTTAGTCAGTTGCTCCATTGTTCCGGGCCTGTAGCAGGCAGAGCTTGGTGGCGCAGCATGGCTCACCCCACGGAGGCCAAGAAGCATCGAAGAATAAAGGGAGAGGTCCTGTGTAAGATGCCCTTCAAAGGCTCACCTCTAGCCTGGCACCTCCTTCCCGGTCTGCCATCTCCCTGCAGTCCATTCACACTCCAGATCCTTGGATGAAGGCAGCGATCAGGCCAGAGGCTCGTGAGTTAATCTCTGGAAGTGGCCTTTTTAAATCCTAGGGGGCTCTAAACTTGGTCGGATTGACAAGATCAACACCTCACAAATGACTGGGTTTTCCAAGCCTGGTTCACGGAGCAAGGCTGTTCTGTCTAAGAAGGTTCTGAGTCCAGAAGCAGATGGCCCCAGGCTCCAGGGAGAAGACACCAGGGCTGAGAATTCCACTCTTGATTGTAACTCCCATCATGATCAGACACATCCCACTATGACCAAGGGACAGAGGTCGGGGTGGCAGACCCAATCCCAACCAAGAGGCCATGGCAGCCAGGACTTTGTGCTGACTTAGGGACACCTGGGAGGCTCTCAGGACATCTGGAAGGAGGTCAGAGCTGGACACAGGGCTCCAATGTCATCAGGGCGGACTGGAAGTTGGAGGCATGGAGTCGTGGGTGAGACTGAGCTGGCGGCCGGGGGAGGGGGGTGAGCGGGCTGGATTCCAGCCCAGTCTTGAGGAATACTCCTTGAGGAAGATCTGAATGATCCTTGGAGAAGGTTAGTAAGTAATGACCCGGCCTACAGAACACTGGGCTAAGGACAGTGTACGTGCTTATATCTCAAGAGGTAGGCAATGCCTTTCCCAGTTAACTGATAAAAGAAAAAGGCTCAGAGAGGTTGAACAACTTGCTTAACATCACAGAGCAGAAGTATGGTTTAAATTCAGGTTCCTGTGGCTTCAAAGGACTGTTCCTTTCCTTTCTTGGATGAAAGCAACAGACTGGGGGCAGTCTCCACCAGGTGGGAAGCCCTGGCAACTAACACGTCCTCCTGTTCCATACGTAAGCTTTGCTGGGTGAACCACATTGGCGGGATACATTTATTGAGCACCTACTGTGTGCCTCATGCGTTAGGCACATCACCTTACTGCACCCTGACTTGGATCTCAGACATTTGAAGATAGAGTATTGCAGAGAGGCTGGGGGACACGTCCGAGGTCACACAGCTAGAAAGCACGTGGTGTGTCCTAAGGCACTAAGAGATGATCCTAAAACAATTATCCAGCCCTTCTGCTCTGAGTCTGTGTTAATCCTGGCAACCTTGACTTGACTGTCAAGGCCTAGTTAGTTTTACAAGGATGTTAACCAGGAATTTAAGTTTATCAGTGAAGACATTTTGACTGGATAAAGTGTTAGGACAATGCAACTCACCCTGCCTTAAGATGAGGGGAGATTTACTAAATCCATGAAGGCTCAGGTATGGCTTGATCCAGGACCCCCAAGGATGCTCTTCCCCTCTGTTTCCCAACCATACCCAGTGCCACACTGTCTACCTTCTCAGACTGGAATCCCTGAAGATTAACAAAAGGCAGTCCCCTGCTGCGCTGGAAACGCTCCTGTCCTGTTGGAAAGAGGGAGTTGGTGCCGAGCTGGGTAGGGTTGGTCTTAGGGGGAAGCCTGGGGTTGGGTTCCCCTGGCTCTGTGGAGCTGGACTCGGTTCTCCACCACTGTGGAGGGGAGGCCTGGGCCCTGAGGGACACTGCAAGAGGGACACTTAGAGGGTGAGCTGTGCCAACACTGTGAGCCTGGCACAGTGAGGGGCTGGCTCTGGGCAGATGGGTGTGGGATTCTGGCATTTGGAGCCCAGGAAGCAATTTCTGGAGTGGCTGGCTCTGCAGGATGGGGGAGGTCCTCTGAGCGACCAGTGTGCTCGAGGGCACCACACTTCTAGAGAATGTTCTATCTGAGACCCAAGGTGGTTTGTCTGGATTTGAGATCCCCCAATCTCCCAGTCCTCTGTGCCCCCAACAGACATCTTAAAGGCAGCAACCACATGCAGTGGAACTGCCTCCTCGCCTGTGTGTGTGTGTGTGTGTGTGTGTGTGTGT